TTGGGAATGCTTGCAGCCCATCAATCAAAGCATTAGGGACCGCTCAAGGGCGACTGGTGGGAGTTAGCGGGCAAAAATAGCGTCATATTTTTTTTACTTGCAAATTGTAAATGATGGGATTCCTGTGTAATGTCAGTGAAGACTGGGATTGAACCCAGAGACAAACAGAAAACAAACAGCCATTTTTTCAAAGCGAAGAATGTTTTGAATCAGGAAAAGGTGTTGTAAAATATCAACTCCTAGACGCTCAATCGTACCATAGATATTAATTAAAGGGTGCGAAGTACCTATCCTATTTGAGTTTACGTTATGGAGGTTTAGTTTGATGAGTATCTTTTATTTTTCTGAACCTCATCTTCTGTATTTTACCACTGATCCTGGTCAAGAAGACAAGAACAAACCATGTTACAGTCGGATCAAATCCCTATGGCTTCTACAACTGGCCCTTCACCACTCCATGGTTCCTTTAGAGAGAGACAGAGACGAAGGAAGAAGCGAATATCTCGGGATTTAGACGACCATAACGAGAGTTTAGAGTCCCCGAGCTCAATTCCTGAAAGGATACCGCTTCATGAAATGGCGGACGGGGAGAAAGCTAATGCTTCTGCTGAAGGAAGCTCAAGTCTRACCCATGGAGGGCATGAAAGAACTTCAAGGAGTCGAGAAAGAAGTAGAAGACCTCGTAGGAAATCAAGAACTGAGAATGGTGAGAGATGTTTTATATCTAAACGTGTAAGCTTGTTATTATTTTACAGCACGATATGATGAYCTTACGCGTCCTTATCGAGTGTTTACAATATCATACCAAGGCAAGGTACTGATATCAGTGAACGTCTTTTTAAAAAACGTTTGCCAATTTTAAATTTTTAGAGCATATAAAGAAACAAGAATATTTCTGTGAGATCGTGAATTTCCTTTACTTATTTTGTGGTTCAGCTGTCTTTCGATCATGGATAAAAATTCAAATTTCGATCTGTGAGTCAGCCATGTCCTCAGTTAGATCAGCCCACCGTTTCAAGGCTACTTAGTAAATTGATGTTTGGTTTTTGATTGACAGGAGATTTACATGACAGGAATGAGTTGCAGATGCACACCCTTGATATTCCTGATAAAAGACGGCATAAAAGACCTCCAATGGCTTCCTCAAGACATGCCCCCAGGTCAGCAAGTGCAGAGGTACTGAACAGAATGGAAGATGACATTGATGGTGAGAATCTTAGCCCAACAAGAGGAAGAAATAGAAGACGACGAGGGCATGGTAATTAAGGAACATGGTTACTATAGAAACCAACATAAATCTTCTGTCTGTCTGTCTGTCTGTCTATATATTCTTTGATTGCATGTTACATCATCCAGGCCATATTGGTGCGAGTTAACAAAAGATTTCTCATTGGCATCCTGTTAACCACACCAAGATGGCCACCATGCTTTTGTCTTTTGACTCTTTTGGGAATGCTTGTAACCCATCAATCTATGTACCAAGGAAAGAAAGTTGAAGCATTGTATAGAACTGAATATAGATGTTTTGTATGAGTAGAAGTTTTACAATACTGACTTAAAGTAATACCTACAACATATCCCATAACAATGAAGTTTATGGTCAATAATTCTTTCCAAACCTCAGGATTTTTATGATGTCCAATACCCAACTTAGTCCTTACCACCCCTTGAAATTCCAATCCCCTTAAGAGGGTGTTGATAATCCCAGAACTACACAATTATTAAGCCTTCCATCTTTTAATCTTTATTGTTATTAGGATCAAAAGACATTATTGAAAATGATGATATGGATGAATATGGGATAGATGGAGGTGTACCTGGAGAAAATCCAAAAAGACCAAGACCACGCAAACACAAAACTAAAAAACCTTCAAGGTATGTGGTAATGTATCACGCTTAATAATATTGTTATTGATAAAGTATGAAGCAAATGTGACTTGTTTGGTTAGCTTGTTGCCTGCTAAGCAAGAGGTTCATAATTTGATCCTTGCTTAGTGACCTCAAACATTAGTCTTGTTTGGGTGTCTCTCTAATCCTAGTACAGTACCTCTTACTTTCAATAGCCTTATATGGACCGYCGATGGGGAGAAAAGGTAAAGAGCACACCATTGGCTTCTGGAAGATTAGCTGCAATTTGAAGGAACTGCCAGTTGACATATGATATTATATTAAGGTCTTGGTTAAAGCTTGGCCAGTTGAGACTTGATTCTTCACAGTAAAAACCATCCATTCTCTCTTCTYTTCTTTTGTTGGCATCCTTCTTTTGAGGTTGATTGTTTGTTTTCTTTGGGTTTAAGACAACAAAATGCCACTTCTGGGGAGGAGGAAAACTATAATGCCGATATGGACGGAGAAGGTAACTACAGTCTAGTGCAATTTATTATAAATTTGATTAAAAAGAATGCTTGGTGTTTAGATTTACCAGGCTGCAGAAAGATTGTGTAGTTACAGCTAATCATGTCACACATGACCAGTATCTCTCATGACTGGACTTTCGGCAGCTTTGTCTGAAATTCCAAGTCTAGGTGCCAACTACGCTCAAAACTATGGAATTCAAATTACTTTTAAGTAAACTTAAAAGATAAAGATTTTCAAGCTAATTCTCACGGATGTGGTTGGGAAGTGAATTTGTTTTGAAAATATTTCACAATCATTTGTGATAGAGGGWTTAAAACCTTATTCTTTTACTGTCAGAATTTGTTTTGGGATATCAGAGTAGTTGAGTGGAAATTTGAAATTTGATTACTGGTGACACTCATGACATGAATTAGCTGTAAGTCATGGCAGTGGTCATAACTACAATGTCTCATAATAATAATAATAATAATAATAATAATAATAATAATAACTTTATTAATGTCTCTAATTCTTCTAGCCGGGCACAAGCACCCTACTAATCGGGGAGACAATCATCATGTAATTATAATAAACATTAAGAGGGAAATAATATATTATACCCTGGGTGGGACCCAAGTCTTAGTGATTGTAGTCTGATATGTTAACCAATGTAATTGTGATATTTGGATTATGTWCCAGTATCCATGGTTGATACATTCAAGGTCGACAAAGAAGACATAGTAGCAGGAGAACCAGCMCCACCCTCCAATCCAAGCTTATCCCAGACATTACCCAGTCAACCTCTAGATGTGGTCTTCATTCAGACAAGAGGTAATCTGTCATTCAATAGATACAGTAGGCAAACAATAGGCATGAGTAGTTGGCCTGTGTAGTTTGAGCTTTGAATATGAGACAGATAATGTGAGTGAGAGGGGCCATTAACAATGTGAAACGTTAAACGTCTTTTCAAGTTAAATTATTTCTAGCATTAAATTTTAAGGCATAGCGAAATGCATTTTAAAAACTGTAATTTTAATTTCAATATCATCATCATCATCATCATCATCATCATTTAACATATTTTAAACATTCTTCTGATATGGATACAGATGGACATGGCTTTAAAAGTGAAAGAAAGACAAGAATCAACCAGCTTGAAGAGGAAAGAAGAACTGCCTCTCCAATGGAGATTGAAAGAGAGAAAACTACTGCAGAATTTGCTGTGGTGAGTGTCTTAGAGCTGTGTTCTGTGCTTACYGTTCATTCTTTCTCTTTCATCTTGTACATAGACCAACAATTCATTATAGCAAATTAGTTTTGAAAACATCTGCAATGAAAGTAATTTTTTTAACTGTTATGTTTCAGTCTGTACACAGGGCATTCAGGTCATTTTCTTTGTTTTGCCATGGATTGCTAGCAGGTAAAGATTACATGTTTAAAGTTGAGTGGAAATGACGAGGATTCTTTATCTGATTAATACCCTTTTCAGCTTGGGCTCAATGTTTTACCGTATCAGACCACATGTTATTCCCTAAWGTATCATGATTTCTTTATCCAACGGCTGTGCATGAGAAGACACACAAATATGGATACAACTCAAACAAAGAATCTTATTCTCAAGAGAATTATGACAGGTGGTCGGAATGGGAAAACATTATGCACAAGCTAAAGAGTGGCAGTTTTTTATTGCTGTTTCCACATTCATGATTTATAATTTGATAACAAGATAAATTGCAAATAAGGAGYCAGTCTTGTATTATATTTGTTGTTTTTGTTATTTGACAGGTTTTGCCCTTTGCCAGTGTATATTTGTATATTCATTGAGTGATCATGTGGGTGGTGACAAGATTTTTTTAGAGTACTACTGCAAAATGGCGCAACCTATTCAGTCCATATACTACATGCTCTTTGCTCTTTGCACTGTTTCTGTTTTTGACAGGTAAGCTTTTCCTCCAAAAATATTTACCTTCAAAGTTCCCTGTGCCATCTTGAAACTAGTAACACTACTTGTGCATGGAAGTAAGAATAGCATTGACCTTCTAATGTTTCTAAGGTCACTACTGTTCTCGATTTGAAGCACAGGCAAAGTTACTTTTCAAGATGGTGCAGTAAACTGAGAATGGGGAGTACAAGACACGGTTATGTGAAATTGCAAATATTTCAACCAATAGCATAGTACACTGTAAGTGTCTTATGTTTGGTTAAGTGTGATTGGTTGATGAGATGATGGTAGGATGTTGGTGAAGTGTTGTTACATGTTCAGTAAGGTGTTTTTAAGTGRTTTGTGAATCACTTATCATCAATAGACTTACATATACAATACAGACACAGGTACCCCATTAAGATAAAAGAGGGTTATTGCTTATAGATTTAAACATGTGTCTGTTTCCAGATATGACATGGCAAACCCAAGGTCAGGGTTTTTCCAAGGTCTACTTAACCGACCTTCAAGAATACTCTCCATCAGTGGTAAGCTTGTCTTTAGAGCAATATTCCCATGGGGAAGGGGGGTAGTGGTATATAGTGTACAAAGGGTTTTT